CCCCCCGGGCCGCTGAATTTCGGTGTCGGTCGTGGCTTTTTAGCGATTTTTTGCGTTTCTTTTATTCCGCCCGGTTGTAGAAGGTGAACCGTTAACTAGAGCTCTTTAAAAGCTTTTGGTTTTGCGAAGCCCAGGTCTCGGTTTACGCTAACGTCCCCGAGGTGTCTGTCAGACACCTGCTCTCGTGCCGAGCAGAGCATTCCGGGGCTGGTTTTCACCTTTTGGACAACTCTTTGCAAATATAAAAATGAAAATAGAGATGTGGAAGACGTCTAAAGGAAGCTATTCAATGAATCCCAGGTTCAGTGATCACTTCAGATGGGTGCCTTCATTTGCGCTGAGCACGGTTTTTGACATTTATTGTAACATTTTTAGGCTCTGGAGTGTTCCTAGGTGTCTGGTTTTTATTAAATGAATGTCTGTAAGCCCTGATGGGAACAAGAACGCCACTGTTACGTGGGATCACATAAAGAGAGCTTTCCTTCCTTAGCTGTCTTGGAGTCTAATTAACGAACTGGCAACAAACCGTGGTCTGTTTTATTCACAGCAGAGGTTAGGAGGGAATGAAGAGTAGAAGGGTTGGCTCTACGAGGCTGGTGCTCGGTTCTACAAAGCGATTCTTTGCTTGGTAAAATTCTGTGGCCTTTCGGTGCTCTGTGTGGGCTGGAGCGGTGGCACCCGTAGCCCATTGCTGACCGAGTCGTGGGGAGGTTTGTTAGCTTATACAGAGGGAGGTGCGCCTAACTATCGGGGAATTAGCAGGTAGAAATTATGTTGATAGGTGTACTGGAAATAATAGGTCTTATCATTTAAGTGGCACCGTGTGTCAGAAGTTGCAGATGACTTTCACTGCCACAGTGTGTTATTTTGATGATGCTATTCTAAAAATAAGTTAATGAGTGTTCTTGCTTTTGTAGACAGTCTCTGCGTGGGGAGCTGTGGTGTTTAACTCCTGATTTGTATTACGTTGCTAACAAATCAGCATTTGTCTAAGTTCCTGAAATATTCTTTTTGGCAAACATCCTTTTTCAGAGCTGTTGCAGGGAGATTCGCTTTTCTGGATGCGTATGCCAGGGTCAGGATTTGACTGTAATACCTTATAGCACAAATTGGCTTTTCTACAGAGTTCTCGGGAAGAAACAAGAAGCCAAGGGTAAATGTTCTGAAGACCTGCGGCAAATCATTCTACCTTACGTAAAAGTGTTGCAATTTTTCACTTCACACAGTTTTATGTTCCACTTGGAGTGAAGGATGAAACTGTTATGGAAGAACTTGTTTGGAGGAGAGCATCGAATGTAACTGAATAAAATATTGCTCTATACTTTTGTTAGGTTTCTTTTTACTAACGTCCAAGTAGCAAAATCAAATTGAGCTAAGAAACTGATATAAATGTGATACTTCTTTGATATGAGTTTGCAAGTTTTGCTATATCAGTTGTTACCCTCTTTGGGTCTTTCCTGGGTTCTTCCAGGACATCTGAAACTGGTCAGCTAAAAACCAGTGTTCCTTAAATCAGTT